AAAAAAAAAAAAAAAAAAAAAAAAAAAAGCAGCATGTTAAACTCTAGTCTGTTTTCTATTCATATTACAACGGTTTCTTTATAGCAAATGATGGTAATCAGTTCAAATAGCTTTTTCTTCACACAATTTTAGCCCTTTCACATGAAAATGAAATAATGACCTCTAGTGGAACAAACTCAATCTAGTATCCATTGTGGTCTATTATTAAACTGTTATTAGACTGGCTTCACACTGCAAACATCCTAAGCATGAAAACTCTCAAAACAATTTTTTTTTTTTGAGACAGTCTTGCTGTCACTCAGGCTGGAGTGCAGTGGTATGATCTCAGCTCACTGCAACCTCTGCCTCCAGGGTTCAAGTGTCTCCTGTCGCAGCCTCCTGAGTAACTGGGATTACAGGCACCCACGACACCACCTAGCTGACTTATCTATTCTCAGTAGAGAGGGGTTTCACCGTGTTAACCCAGGCTGGTCTCAAACTCCTGACCTCAAGTGATTTACCAACCTTGGCCTCCCAAAGTGTTGGAGTCACAGGCATGAGCTGCCATGCCTGGCCAAAACATAATTTTAAATCTCTTATGTTATGCAGCTATTTTCAAAATTTTAAAATTTAAGAGTCAAGTCTCACTAGGTTACCCAGGCTGGAGGGCTGTAAGTTGCAATCATAGCAGCTATGGCTTTAAACTCCTGGATTCTAGCAATTCTGCCTTAGCATCCCCAGTAGCAAGGACTGCAGGTGTGCACCACAGTATCCAGCTCCAATTTTTATGCGGTATCTGCTTTCCTTTTAGTCTATAAGTTCCATGAGGACAGAGCCAACTATGTTGATTTCCTACTCTTGCAGGGTTTTTCTGTTTGACCCCTTCAAATCTCCTCTCTGCCTTTTGCCTTCTGCTTGGATACAACCAATAGGAGCACCAATAGATCAGAAGATGGGAAATAATGAAATCCAGATATTTATTCCCCAGCTTAATTAAAGAAAGGTATGGAGAAAAATGACATATTGGTTGTATCTTGTCATGCCAACCCACTTTTAATATATTTTACTATTAAAGAATTGTCTTAATCATCATGAATTTCATACATCCCCTTTTGGATCATAGAACCTGTAATAAAACTGGATTACCACTGCCATTAATTTGGGGGGGGGGAAGCTAATTATTACATAACTTCGATGACTTATTAAAAAATAGAACATCAACTGTGGAAAAATAAATTATTTACTTGAGGTAAGATACTTAAAATATATTAGCTAATATACTAATATGTAAATTTATGACAGGTGCATTCCACATGTATATTAATATCTAACATATTAGTTTAAATATATATTTTTTTTTTGAGATGGAATCTCCCTCGGTCGCCCAGGCTGGAATACAGTGGCGTGATCTCAGCACACCCCAACTTCCACCTCCCATATTCAAGTGACTCTCCTGCCTCAGCCTCCCGAGTAGCTGGGATTACAGGTGCCAGCACCATGTCCAGCTAATTTTTTTTATTTTTAGTAGAGATGAGGTTTCACCATGTTGGCCAGGCTGGTCTCAAACTCCTGACCTCAGGTGATTCCCCCACCCTGGCCTCCCAAAGTGCTGGGATTATAGGTGTGAGCCACTGCGCACAGCCGATAATGTTTTTAAAGTATCTTACCTCATCAAGTAAATTCAAATTTATTATATATACTATATTTATATAATATACATATTTATATGCACATTTTGTAGTGACTTCCTTATTTTTGCCGGAGAGGGGGCACCCAGCAGCACCCACCGAGTCCCTGCAAGCTATAGTGACTTCTTTAAAACATACACATCCCCACTCTTGCTCTCAATTTATATAATCCTCTTACAGGACTTAAACTTTTTTTAGGTAACAATCTTTGCAGAAAATTTCCTTATTTAACAAAACAACTCACATGCACGATGAAAATACAGATTTAAGTCACCCACATCCTCAGTTTTTTTCCTTAGCATATAAATATTTGGTAGTAACCTTTACGAAAAACTGATACACTGAGAGGCATTTTTCTGAGCTTAACCAATTAGAAACACTTTTAAAAAATCTTTATTAACAATTAGAACAGTTTTGCAGTCAAATGAAGTAGGTCTTTTCTCTTCTGTTCTCAAAGAACCCCTTAATAAAGGAGGCACTGACAGGTACATTCCACATTAACAGGTTTTAACACTGCTCATAACTGATAATCTAGTGAACATTTAACTCCAAGTTTTAACTTGGAGAACATAAAACTATATCCTATTGAGAACTGATTAAAAAGCAAAAGAAACAAAAAGTAGCAGCTAGACAAAAGCAATGACCCTTAATTTAGAAGACAACTTTTTACCAAGTACCTAAGACTCTGTGGAGTAAAACTCAGTAAAGGAGAATTTTAGACCCCATCCCATAAGGACTTTAGTTTCCAAAATACCAAAAATAACTTACTTCCCCTTGTAGGTGGGTGCCACAGAATGAAGTCAGAGTAAAGCAATAAAATGCACATTCAGTGCATGTAAAGTAAAAGGGCATATATTCTATATAAGTTTAGCCTAAAATTGTCTCTTTACATATCTGAAGTTCAGCCTAAAGGTTTCAGGACAAAGTGAACTGCAGCCTAACTGGTTGTGTAAATAAATGGTACCCTACTCTTGGGCCAATTACTAAGTTTCAGCCAATCAAAGGGAGCGAACTGTTCAACCTATATTCAAATAAGGCAAACGCTGAACTGTTAACTAATCCGGCTGTTGCTGTATCTCACTTCCATTTTCCATACATCACTTTCCTTCTTCTGTCCATAAATCCTCATCAACTATGCAGCTGGGCTGAAGCCTCTGAATCTATTCTGGTTCAGGGGCTACCTGATTTATGAATTGTTCTTTGCTCAATTAAACTGTCAAATTTAATTTGTCTGAGGCTTTTCTTTTAACCTTATTTTTATTATCATAAAAATAAAAATTTTAGTTCAAAAACTTAAAGCCTGATCATCTAAAAATGAAACTGCCCAGTAGAAATGCTTAGCTCGCACTGTGGTATTCTTGTGAATGTGGAGGAAACTACTAAAACTCTGATATACTCAATAGACAGCTCTGTCCCACATTTATGTTTATTAAAAACTGACATAAACAAACACAACCTGTACAAAAAATATCCCAGATCCCATATGACTTTGAAACAGTAATCATGAGAGACATTATCGCCTTGGACCCCCTCTTCCTCTGCCACGGCCACGTCCTCTTCCTCTGCCTCTGCCTCGGCCTCTTCCTGCAACTGAGGGAAAAGAAAAACAAAGCAAGTTCAATTCTCTTCTGCACGAATGTTACCTTGCCACCACAAACAGCGTTTACACACACACCTTTCCCCATTTATAGCTCTTTATTAGCAGTTACAGTAAAGAAAACTTTAGCTTCTCTTAAATGTGTTAAGACTTCAGATTTCCCCCCACGCCCCCAACACATTATCATGCAGAACCAAGAACTAAAGGCCTAGGAATATTATTGTTTCAATTTATTTACTAAGAAATTTGTCAAATTTTAAATATGTTTTCTTTACATCATGTCTCAAATTCACCATAAAATGATTTGAACCTCACAAAAAATGGAAGAGATGTATCAACAGAACATGAATACCTTGATGCCAGAGTCTGGTAACTGAATAAAATCCAAGCAAGTTAATTCAAAACCAGGGAAGTTTATAACTATGATATCAAATCACAATCTTATTAACTCTTCAAAAAATTAAAACTCATTTGACCCAAACATAATCTAGTGCTTTAAGCCATATAGCAACATCCCTGCCACTTGGTCATCCTAACTCTAGTTGAGTATCATGGTG